TTTATGAATTATACTTAGGGCATACCAAAAGTAAGGGTATTGACATTTTAATACTGTATAATAAGCTTTAAGAAATTTTTCTATATATAGCCTGATAGAGAAAAAATATCCCTATCTTTCTACACTATTTGATCATACTTCAGCTAATCATCATAATAATAAAATTTCAATAAGATCTATTTTTCTGTCATATGGAACGGCTACACAAATTCGAGTGTATATTTTTTGAATAACTTTTTATAGAAATAAGATAGATAGCTGTGGTTTGCACCGTTGGAAAGCGGAGATAAAGACGCATCGAATTGTATATTATATATTTTCCTAGACTTTACTTAGAAAATTTCTTCAATCAATTTTCTAAGTATTCAAAAAAATGGTTTTTTATTTCTGTAAAGAAATTACCAGAAAAATCACATAGAGCTTCGACTAGAACATCTATAACTCCTTAATAATTCATTAAAAATATCTGAAACTTCTTCAGTTTTCTAGGTCTTTCATTGGCGGTTTGAATGCACGTTTGACAATGGAAAAGTTGCTGTAAACACCTTATAGAGTAGGCTTATTTCCAAAGAAGTTGATTAAAAATCTCTAAAAAGCCATATCCATAAATCAATAACTAAATTCGATGCATCTTCATTTCCTCTTTCGAACGATGAAAATTGCAGCTCTCTATCTTATTTTTATCAAAAGTTATTCAAAAAATATTCACTGAGTAGGCCATTGGTATAATCGTCACATATGAGAGAAAAACAGATCTTATCGAAATTTTATTATTATGATATTAGTTGAAGTATGATCAAATAGCATAGAAAAATAGAGAATTCTTTTCTCTATCAGACTACGTAGAGAGAAATTTCTTAAAGCATATTATACGGTTTTAAAGTATCAACACCTTTACTTTTGGTATGGCCTAAGTAATAAGATCTCCGTGTACGAAATAAACAGGATGTCTAACTTTTTTCATTATTTCTTCACATTGTTGTTATCTTAACTCGTATTTATATCATTGATTCATGTCTTGTTATTCAGTTTTTTGAAAAATTTGCAGTCATCAATAGTCAAAATTACAGTTATATCTTATATAACGTTAAAAGCTTCACATTCATTGTGTAAAGGATGAAGAAAAGGAAAACATATTCGAGATTTAGTTGATATGCGGTGATTCACAAAAAACACAGACAAAAAAGTTTTTTTTATAACATTCGGCTTTAATTCCTCGTATATATATAGTCAGGTCTCGTCATTGTTTTTTTGCGTTATTATTTGCTATACTATCAAAAATAGATTTAATTTGCAAATGCGACAAAATCAATAAGAACAAAAAAAAAAAATAATATTTTTATTTCATTGAAATTGGTTTTAAGCACAACCTTCACATATGAAAAAAAACATATATAAGTAAAAAAAAATAACAAATAAGATACTTTTATTCTAACTCTATACGTTTACAAAAAACCAAAGTTTCTAGAAAGAAAAACAAATGCTTCATGGTTTCTATCAATATACAATTCGTTATGTATGCTGATAAAACAAGAACGCTTGAGTGGTATACAAACAGGTATAGAAATCATATAAATAAAATATTTTCATTTAAAATATAGGTAACATAATATCCAGGTGTAGAATATACTTATAAGTATGGTAATTTGATAAGGAATATAATATTTGATGATATCTGTCGTTTAGTATAGTCAGAATGACAATGCCAATTTCAATGGTATAAATAAATTGTAGTTTGTATTGTTTTCATTTGACAAATTTTTCTTACTTCATAATAATGAAAGTTACAAATTATGCTTCAATATTAATTGAAACGTTAATTTCTTTTTTATACATAAATCAAATAATATACTAAGATTATAATGAAAAACGTAAACATAGATAATATTTAGTCTTTGCTAAATTTATTCTAATTACATTCAATTACATAATTAAAGATATATAGCTAAGTAAAAGTATTGTTCTCATGATGGTCATTTAATTAAATGAACTTTTATTTCTTTCGACTCATGATCGATTTGAATTATTTCATGTTCAATTAATTTTTCCATTAAATTTTTATTTCCTTCTAACTGTAATGCATCGCTAAAATTTTTATCTTGCAAATTTCTTCTTTCTAAATCACATCCCATTTCGATTAAATATTCGACTATTCTATGTCGACATCCACGTGCTTTGAGACAAGCATAAAGTAATGGATCATTGCCATCTTCATCTAATCGATGAATAAGTAATGGTGATTGATGAAATAATTTCTTTAAAAATGTATATTGTTTTCTTTGTAATAAAACAAATAATAGATCTGTACTTGTTGCTAACCATATTGCTAATGATTTATTATCTAGAATTGCATGAAACAATTGTTTTCTCTTTTGATTTCCCATTATAATATCAACAATTATTTCACTATTCCATGATTTTTGAAAAAAATTCTTTATTTGTTCATTATAATTAAAAACGAATAAGATTATATCGAGACGATTGCTTATAATTAAATTTTTTAGAGGTTGTTGAAATGTTTTATAAAATTCTACATTCCAATACATTGTCTCATTTAAAATATTTTCATCAAGTAGAATTTTTAATATTTCAATTTGACTCGTATAAACAAAAATTTCATGATCAATATTAAGTTGAATAGATGAAATCATTTGTAATATATCCAAAAAACTCTGATTTTTCCAAAACTTATCGATAGATACATATTTCAAACATTGTAAAGTAAAAAGAAGTAAATCAACAGCACCTCTATAACATTGAATATTAATAGAGTTAGATGATGTTTGATTATTATAGTATTTTAATCGATAGATTGAATAAAATAAAAAGTAATATATTAGATAATCACTATGGCTAATATTAAGTTGATGATATAAAAGTGTTGGATTCGAAATTATGAGTACTTTAAACATTTGAACGAGACAACTAATATATCGTTGAGAAACAAATCGAACATTTGTAATGTTCTCTAATAATAAATGATTTACCGTTTGGACAAAATTAAATTTTGAACATTCACTATCAGAACATTCAAATTTAGCACCTTTGGTTAGAACCAAAAATTCAATTCGTTTCATATTATTCATCGGTTTTGAACATGTTTGTAAATCTATAAAGGTTTTTTGTAATTCATTGTCTAGATTATAAATTACATCATTAGTAAGATGTGTACGTATAGATTGAAAATTTTTTATATTTGATTCTAATAAATCAATAGATTGTTTATATTTATATGTAATATGAAAAGTAACGAATGATTGAAGATATTGTCGAAGTTGTTCATCATTTTCTGTTGTTTTTAGAGATAATAATTGTTGAGATATATCATGAAATACTTTTGATTTATAATAATAGTCAATACTTACATCATCAATATCCATAAGCAAAAAATCGGTTAATAAATGTAAACGTCGATCAATAAGAATATTATTTATACGTTGATTTAAACCAGAAAAAGTTCGAAACATTCTATAAATACTACCAGAATAACGTATAATAATCATTAAAATTTCATCAGGCAAAGTTTCGAATGTAGATGATAACATTTTTCTTTGATGTATTGTTTTTTTTTGCGTTAATATTCAACACGTAGTATTCACTTTTTATTTTCGAATATATCTGATTGTGCAATGTCTGTGTCATTATTGAGTCAATTTATCAAGTGCTTTTTTTTCTTTTCTGTCCGTCGTAATAAAGAAGACAAAGCAATATATCTCTAAATAAGAACGACAAAATATTTATCTGATAACATACCATGAGAACATCATAAAAATTGTAGTTATTTTTTCTGTTCTTGAACATTGTTCTACAAAGAACAGAACATCAGAGTAAGATTCAACCATGATAATGAATTTTTCTGCAAACTTTCGTCATTTCTTTTTTAAGTGAGACTTTCAGTAGCTCACAGAATACTAGATGAAAACTGTAAGAATAATCAATGTAATCCTATTGAAAACAAAAATCCCTAGGACAATGAAATATTTTGATTATAATTTTAATCTATTGAAATCTCAGCTATCAATGTTAAATGATTGCTTTCATTTGAGGCAGACAAATCAATTGATTCATGCATGCAAACGATTCTTTAGGATTACCTATGAATCATAGGTCAAAATGAATGAGAAAAATGTGTAACATTAGATTTGATTGTATTTATAGTAGCTCATTCCTATTCGTATCAATCTTATCTAATCACTAGGTTATTTAAGAAATCGTATTTACAACTAGATAGAAGACTTTCAAGTTCCATTTAGTACGAAGCTATGAATATTGATTATTGACAAACCAATATTTGATTAAAAGAAACAAATAGTCATTTCTCTGATTGAATACAAAGTGGATTTTTCGAAAAGATATTAGGTAGTTCATTGGAATCAAACTTCTTTTTATTGTCGATGTAATTGGAAATTTACATTTCAATCAATCAATTGATCGAAGTCAAAAATAGATTCATTGAAAGTAAACATGGCAAAAGTGAATACTACGAAAACTCTATCAATGCATATGAGTCGATTTGCGGATGAAAAATATTGAAAATCCATGGAATGTGAAAGGAATATTCTGGATTGAAAAGCTTTCGGATATTTCCTATAATCTTGAGTTAACATTTTTTTTTATTTTCGACGAGGAACGACCAAAAATCTCCGAAAAAATCCGGTGAAATTATGGCCCGAAATATTGATTCCACATTCCATGAATTTTTAGTATTTTCGCTTCGGAAACAGTAACTTTCCCGTCAGCTTCAGTCACATTCACTCGTTTCCAAAAGTCAGAATTATCAACCTATCATATACTTAGATCAAAAAATACTGGCCAGTCTCGGCCGAGAAAGTCCAAAAAATAGCTTTCAGTAGATAGAGTTCGACAAGCTGATTCTACGAAGAGCCCACAGGATGAAAGTTTGCCTGCACCACATTCTAATAGCAAAAATATCTTTTCAGCTGAAATCCAAGCAGCCGAAGATGTAATTGGACGTGGTAGAAATAGGAAAAAAATCTAATTGACTAACACTACAGCTCAAAGCATAGCCATCTTATACAGTTTATCCGATGTTCTAGGAATATATGGAAGCACGTGACTGTACACGTGAATGCAAATAAACATACATTCATATAAAATGATTTAACTTCTTTCGTATGACACTCCTTCCAATCGAGGGAGAATCATTATCTTCGTTAAAAAAAACTTTCTCTCGATGGAAAAAATCAAACTCAAATTTTTTGAAAAACTAAGTATAGATTTGGATTCCTTGATCCCGATTACCTTCAGTCAAACTATAAATTACACTTATCTATGCGGATATGTTACTAGATACGCACATACAAACAGGCACCCAAAAATCATTTTGTTTTATATGACTCATCCTTCAGTCGAAGGAACAATCAAAGCATAAAAGAAAAGGTCTTGTGATATTTGTCTATCAAGACAAATGTTGAATGAAGATCATTTTATAATGTGAACTATATATACAAACACAAACAGATTATAAAATTAACATGGACATAGATAGTTTACGCGAGACAAGTATTGGTAAGTCTTCAATAGATTTAAAAATAAAACACAAATATATATCTGATAACAGTTTGTTTTTACTATTGTTTATCTTGATATATTAACACATATACCTTGCAACATTAATATGTATGACGACTATTGACATTTACATAAAAAAAGAAATATATTTATTGATAGATTAACAAAATATGTTAATAAGTTTTCTCTTCAAAATTACTTTTTACAGCGCACAATGAAAAAGAAATTATTCATGGATTCTATTGTTATTTTCATTTCTAGCTGATATTGATTCAATTCATCATTATCGTTCTCTTGTTCAATCTCCTCTTACTAGACATCGGCGTATATCCATTCCATCACTTGTTCATCCAGATTCATTAAAAAATGATTTACCAACAGATGAAGTAACACTAAAAAGGCATCTTGGTTTATTCTCAGGAATTTGTTTTATTGTTGGTATCATCATTGGTAAATGATTACATATTATATTGTTTATTTTATTAATGAATTATTTCTTATTATTAGGTTCTGGTATATTTGTTTCTCCTAAAGGTGTTTTGCAAGAAACACAATCAGTCGGTCTCTGTTTGATTATTTGGGTTGCATGTGGTTTAGTTTCTTTACTTGGTATGTTTTTTTTACAATATTTTGTACATTTAGGAGATAAAATGATTTTTTTTTCTTGTTTTAGGAGCACTCTGCTTTGCAGAGATCGGTGCAGTGATACCGAGAAATGGCGCAGAAGTCGCTTATCTAAAAGAGGGTATACTAATGTATGGTTTTAATTTTTCACCTTCTCTCTGTAAAATCGATATCATCTATATGAATGCATATGTAAATAGTTGATTGAAATACAGAGTCATGTAGAGAAAGGTTAAACCTCTAATCTAAAAAGAAAGTAATTTGAATTGCATCGACATCATAAAAAGTAATGTGAAAATTATTTATTAATAATCACTTTTTTTTTATAAACAACAAAGCTATCGGACACATAAAAACGGCAGACTAATGTCCGCGCCAGAATAAAAGAGGGGTGAGTGTAAGCTCAATAACTCGACAACCGCAATACCTAGCTACCTGCGGTTTTCACCAATCGAAAGAGGAGGAGCGGGCACGTCTTTTT